TATATATGAATACATACGTATGCAACCATTTATGTGCATATAAGGGGCGGATAGTACGGTGGCAGTGATGTCAGTCATCACGAGCACGGTGCTAGTACGATTCTGCCCCAGGCCAACACAGCCTCTCGTCTTTTTGGAGTCGGGTAATTGGTACCAGAATTGTTTGATAAAAAAAAAACACTTTCTGCAATCCAATCCTGGCTATCTCAGGACTCCAGGGAGAATTGCTCGAACAGCATTCTATGACATTCAAGATGAAATGGAAATTCTCAAGCAGTAGCTGAAACCACACGTAAAAAGTTGGAAGACCTCCGTGGGTGATAGATGCGAGGAAACGAATCGAATGTGAGAAGTGCAGGGATCCGAACAATAGACGTGAAGACGAGTCACGTAAAAATAATATATGCATGTATATATATATGTATATATATATGTATACAAACTATATATATACATGCTTGGATACTTGGATGGCCCGTGCTCACTGGTTGTGCGGTCCCAGAATAACTTCGATTTTTTGGAGTTTTGCTGGTTTAGACATTGTGGTTCCCTAGAGTGTCGAGGTCAGGCCGGCGAAAGTCTGCCCCGGGTCGTCACCACCCCAGACAGTCCCGCTCTTATGGATCAGAGGGAGGATTGCCACGATGCAACTAGTTTCATACAACGACGGTAGTGGATCCTGGAGTTGGTCTTACTGTTAACCAGGAGCCTCCTGGTGGAAACGCCAGACCCCTTCTCAGTTTAGAAGGCCCTGCTGAGAGAATACGGACCAATTGTAAGTTCAATTGTGAGTGTATATTTCACATATACTTACTTGGATACCTCGATGGGCCGTCATCACTGGTTGTGCGGGCCTCAACATAATTTCTATTCTCCGGAGATTTCCTGGTTTAAGCACTGTGGTTTGCTGGAGGAACGAAGATAGCCTGGCCAGAGTCCCAGGTCATAACTCTGACCACAGACAGTCGCAGACCTTGTAGATCACAGGAAGATTTGCCACCAAGCGACTTTGATACCAGGACGGTGGTAGACCCTGGTACCAGTTTACCCTTAGCTTGGATTCCTGATGGAAACGCCTAACCCCTTCTCAGCTTAAAAGGCCTCGCCAGGGTGATGAATCCCCTGCTGTACATCGCAACCCAACACCCAGAAACACCTCCCAGCCACGACGACGCGGTTTGAGGGGATTTCACATATATATTATATATATATATATATATATATATACATATATATGTATACATGTGTATATGTATACGTACATATACATATATATATATATATATATATATATATATATATATATATATATATA